CCCCTCGCGTAACCGCCCCATCCCCCTCTCATTGTCTGGCCTCGGAACGCCTCGCCGAGCGAAAAGATAACGGAACCCCCGGGAGAAGGGGGTGGGGAGAGAGAAGGCTCGCTCGCTCACTCACCTCCCGTGGTCGTCGCCGCCGGTAGTCTGACCCGAGGAAGGCGCCGTCGCCTTAAAGGGACCTTGCACCCGGCGCCGAGAGAAGGGGGTGGGAGCAGGGGAGGGGACGGGGGCTTGGGGGGAGACGGAGGAGAGGGAACCGTTTGAAAGCTCGTCTCCCCGAGGGTGGAAGGAAACCTCCCTCGGGTTCGAGTGATTTGGGGTGGATTTTTTCCCGAGGGGGGCGGGGGGGCCCCGAGGGAGGGGGGTGGGGGGGCCAAGGAATGCGGCTCCGTGTACGGGAGCTGGCGCGGGGGAGAGAGACGCCGACTCCCCCCACCGACCCTCTCGCCCCGCGGAGGGATACGGCTCGTCATTTCCGCCCTCCCCCTTTCGTAGCCTTTCGATTGGTTAGAGTGCTTGCTACGTCACGGGCTCATCCTAACCCCTGCCCGGGCCTCTTTTCTAGTCAAGTTTGTACGGGCCTGCAAATAAATAAATAAAGGAAAACATTTTTTAATGAAAAAAAGAACAATTAGTTTCAGAAGCATTATCTACATTTTGATGAGAAAAATGGGATTTCCAAAGACTGTTTCCCAATTCACTTGCCTGGCCTTGCCTGGGGGATTTTGGGATTCTCCCCACTTTGCACTCAACATTTGTAGCTTAACCAAGAGGGAACCTCATGCCACAGGCCAGATGGTGAGGCCCAATGGCACCAACAACTGTCCCTGGAACAAAGGCAGCAAAATGACGCTCACTCTTCCACAAGGGAAATTGCGCCAAGTAACCTTATGGTAATAGTCTTAGGAACTTTGAACAGACCACCTGAGCCCTTTTGGGTTCCAGAGAGACGTCATGCTTTATTGCTTGTCAAAGTGATTTCATGTATAGAAACTGCCTTGAAAATATCATGAATAGATTCAACTGAGCTCGTCAGTGGTAAGAAACCATAGACTCCACATCCATCTTTTTGCACCAAGCCTGAGATAGATTGACGCAAAGAAATGGGTCTGTCCATTCAGGGCCACTCACTGATTATGAACCACTTTTCCAGGTAGCTAACAAATAAACCCTTTGTTGCTTTTGAAATGATGATGAAATCTTAATATTTTCCTTGGTTATATGAGAAATTTTTTGCTCATGAAGCAATACACAAACATTTGAGCCAACTCAAATGCTGAATCAAATTACTTTGTTCAAGATTGGGGTGATCGTGACCATATTTATTCTTTCTTTTTATATGCATATTCCATTCAAAACACCAAACTATGAAACTACACAGAGGAAGTAAACATTTCAAATTAAGCACACACACATACATACATTACCACCCCTTTTTTCATTCCCCATAATCCATTCCATACTCAAAATGTGAGTGATTTCAATTAGGTTTTCAAAGGAAGAACTTCATTAGTTAAACTGAAAGAATAACTAATCCTTCTGAAAATACTCTGAAGCCTTTCTAGCCCTTATCTGGAAAAGTCCATGGTAGAATTACGGCTTCAATCACCAAAAGACAAACCCTGCATGAAGGTCTAATCCCATTGTATGCTTTCCTAACATAATTGTAATTCAATATAATGGATTTGTCTCTGAAATGCTCTTGTTGAAATACAATTTCCCATTCTCTGGGTGCCAACTTAGAACCTTTACCAATGAGGTGTAGTCAAGAGATTGTATTGTACACTGTTGTATTGTACACTGTTGACCAATAAACACCATCTATTTCATAGCCTACTAAAAATACATTATATATCCATTCATTCATTCAACAAATACTTGTTGAGTGCTTGCTATATGCCAGGTACTGTCCTAGGTTCAGGGACTATAGCAACAAAGAAAAACAATGTCCCTGAACTCATGAAACTTGGAGTCTAGTGGGGAGAAAGAGATAATAAATACATAAAAAATTGTTCCAGTATCTATTGTTGAATAGCAGATGGCCCCAAAAGCCAATGGCTTAGACCAACAACATTTTTATTACTATCTCTAATGAATCTGGAAGGTGATTAGACTAAACTAAACAGATCTCACTTGGAGTCTCTAAAGAAGTGACGGTAGCAGAATCATCTCAAAAGATTCCTCACAGATTTGAAAAATAATGATAACCATTGGCCAGAACAGCTTGGTTGTTGGCCTCTCCACATGATCTGGGCTTTCTCAGCTCAAAGTGTCTGAGTATAAAGATTGAGTCCACCCACCCACCCCCAACCCCCAATGTCCAGGCAGAGTGTTTGACTTTTTGTGACTTAGCCACATAGCATCACCTACTTGACAGTACCATACCTAGATTCCAGGTGGGTATTGAACATTTTTCAAAGGGAGGAGTAAAAACATCTTGCTGTAAGAAAAGCATAAATGGGAAATCTTGTGCCCATCTTGGAAAATACAATCTGCCACACATTATATAAATAAATGTCTAATAAGTGATATGGTGACAGGTGCTGTGACTGGGGAAAGGTCACTGGGAGAGTTGGGAATGTGGTACAGTAATGGGTACAGGAAGTTGTTATTTTAAGGAGGTGGTTGGGAAGGATTCATCAGTGGGGTGACGTTTGCCCCAAGACATGAAGAAAGTGAAGCCACAAGTTCAGGTTTTATTCTTAAGGAAATTGAAATAATTGAAGGGTTTTAAGGTGAGGAATGACATGATCTGGTATATGTCTTTAAAGGATCAGTCTGGCTGCTTGTGAAGAATAACTGGTGAGGGCAAAGGCAGACACAGGGAGACAAGTTGGGAAGCTATTGAAGGAATTCTCCTGAGATGCTAGTTGCTTGGACCAGGGTGGAAGCTGTGGAACTTTTACTTCAGCTGAGTTCTGTGGGGGGTGATGTTTACTCCTCTGTGGCCTGTAATTTAGCTTGGGCTCTGGGAGACAGTTTGAACCCCTAGTGCTAACAAAAATGTGTGACTGCTAATGCTACATCTGCTGTAAAGAATTAAGGAATACAGTACTGAATGTTAAACTGGGAGTTTCACAGAGCTTCGAGAAAGACTTCAGGAAACAAAAATAAAGACCGACAGAGAATCAAGGGATGGAGTAAGTTCTTTGACATTTTAAAAGTGTCCCATCTATGCCACTGTCTGGGAAGATTCATTAATAGCTAAATGATAGCTGGGAGAAATTAGGGATGGAACCATTTTTAGCTATATATAAAATCCTCCTTCAGAGGATTTGAAGAAAATTCTACCGCTTTGGGACACTGGAGCAACATCTCAAATAAGACTACAAAGTTAGCACTCCCATTTCCAGAAGCATAGTCCTCGTGCTGAGGAGGAAATGCCCAGGATAATTTGGAGAGTGCTGGAACATTATGCTGTCATCAGCCAACACACTGGTTAACAGAGTGAAGTAATAACTGCAGTCTCTGTTTAAACCATCTTGATAATGCTGGGAAACCAAAACAGCAGAACAGGTAATATGGATTATATTCTTAGAAATCTGCACAGTTGAGTCTCTATAACATGTTGGAGAGGGATCTGAAATTCAATCCAGTTGGTTCTTTTAAAGAAATTGCCCCCTAGTGTTGTCACTGAAAAACCATCTTAAATAACTAACTTAGAAAAATGGAACCTTCTCCACATGGGTTTCCAAAAGGAAGAAAAGGTCAAAAGTTAATGGGAGCCCCGAGTAGGGCATTTCACAGTCAGGTGGCCAAGAGTGTTTCTTTTCTACAGTTTATGGAAATACTTACAATCTTCCATGGCGTATGGTTTCTGCCACAAGTTGAAAATTAGAACCACCTGTAGCCTGGAGAGTGTGAGGACAGAGACAAACGATTTCAGCATGTCTGCAGAAGTTGTGAGTCAGCAGTGCCCCTTCAACATCACGCCGCTAATCTACAGACCCAATGGTGACTGCTCAAGTTCAGTGTGCTTCTGACCGACAGGTATTCGTGGGATGGGAGGGGAGAGGATTGTGAGATCCGTCTGGGCGAAAGCAACTTTGCAGGGCAGGGTGCCAGATTTCCTTAAAAATAAACATCCCGCTCTTTACAACATACACTAAGGGTGATGAAAACCAGGAACTCAGAGAAACTGCTTATTTTGGAAGACATGAGAGATAGAAAAAACACTGGAGAAATTTTCACACTCTAAGCCTTCTCTCAGCTCAGAAAGATTAGCAGCTGATTACTAATTGGGACTGATGCTGATGGAGTCTGGGATCAAGAGAAGTCAACATGTATGGGTGGAAAGGACAACCCTGAAGTGTCTCACTTGACAGGGAAGTTGTTATGAGCAAAGGACAAGTCAAGCTCAATGCATGACCAGGGTCAGATGGAAAATGGAGAAGCTAGAGGCTGCTGCTATGTTTTATTGAGCAATGTTATTTGCCACCTTTTTATGTGTACAGAAGTTGAGGGCTTTTCCCAGGGGCTTAGAAGTTAATAGCCAGTGAGGTTTCCAGACTGGGTTTCTAAAAGAAGAGTCACCTTACAGTAAGAAGCAATTGAAGGTTTCTGTCTTCAAAATATATTTGATTCTAAGATACATCAAAATATATTTTCTCTAAGATAAATTCTTTCCTATTTAATAGTGTTCTTCAGTATTACAGTCATGGATAGTTTCCAGAACACATATAAAACATTAAAAAACTTACCAATTCATTCTTTTGAAGAACATCAGGATTAATCTAGTTGGTCCCAGAATAAAATGGTTTCATTCAACTCAGTTTGTTATAACATGGATGAGAAAGCAGAAGTTCCAGCTATTGTTGAATAAAATCATGTTATTCTGGGTCCTGGCTTTGTTATACAGCTGGTTCTGCTTAAAGTCAGTTTCCAAGAATTTATGGATTATGTTAATTGAGGACTTATATATAAGGAAACTGAGTTATCCTCCAGAACTAAGTTTTAAAGATTTCGGGTATAGATCAGAAATCGGATCCCTTTGGGTCTCTTCTTGCTGAGTACAAGCAGCAAGGTGAGAACCAGGAAGGAGGACATCTATGACAACCGAGGATTGAGTTTTAATGTCTTTTATATTGCCCAAACGTAATAAAAATATAATGAAAATGGGTGAAAATGTCAAGGTTCACCCATTTAAATTATCTTATAGGAGGAAAGTTGTTTAATCTTCATCCAGGAAATAATTTTCATTTCTCAGTTTGCCTCTAAATGCATTAGTATGCTAATATTGTGAGTCAGGTGTTAGTATGAGTCTCCTGTTTCGTATGCACTCTGCTTCCTGGCAGTCTTGCTCTCTGCTTCTCCTATTTGGATGCTTTATACCTAGACTGGAAAAGTTAACCTTTTTCACATTATGAGCTCTTGAAATCTATATGAAAACTATGGATTATCTCCCCAGAAGAATGCACATTTGCCCATA